CAGATTCTTTAAATTCTTAAGCTTATGATTAAAATTTTCTTTTGTTCAGGATTGAAGGCAAACTCACCTGGTGTTTTCAAACTCGTTCCGAAGTTCTCTAATACCTTAGAAGTAGCTAATAAGCAATTTCTGAAAGTGATTATCAAGTGAGGTTAGCAAACGTAGTGTCCTTTAAAAGGCGCTGACTGCAATTGCGAGCAAAATGACTATTCCCATTGTCTCCCAGTGCGGGAGACCGCTGTTCTGCAGCATCCTTGCAAGAAGCAGCCATCCAGAGCACATGTGGGCGATCCCCCGTCCTCTCCTTGTCCTGAGAGGTTCTGAAGAGACAGTCTACTCACCGCCTTTTCATTCTTTGCTGCTGTCATTGGCTCTGGTTTTGCAGAGACATCTTCAGCCCACCATTCCTCCCCCAGAAGCCAGAAAAATGCTACTTTTGATATATAACAGAAAAATGTGGGTGGAGATTGCCTCCCAATGACCTGGAAGCAGGTAGAGGACCCATCAAACTACATTTTTGCTTTTGCTCTACAAACTCACCAGGTGCTCTTGGTATGGTTTGCCCATGTCAGCTTTGGTATAATAATATGTTTTAGAGTTGTAAGAGTAACAGGTAGTCTCACCCTTTCCTTAACCTGGTGCCCCTCAAATGCAATATCATGCAGTTGCACCCAACATGGCCTAATTAGTTGATGGGAGTTGAGGGAAGGTAAGGCAGATAATGTAAATTAAGTCATTTGGAAGCTTTTAAGTAGTATTAACTGTATTTCTTGTCTTTTTAAAATGTAGGATATTCCAAAAGGCTATGACGGCTGTGCTTTCTTTTTTTGGTTCCACACGGCTTTTATACAGGACTATCAGTAAGTTGTGATGTTTGAAAGTACACATGTGCTGGAAAAGAGAAGCCTATGAGCCAGGGTGTGAAAGACTTTAGGTTTACAGAGGTTTAGCTCATCTCCACAGACAAGAGAAATATTTCCATGGGGTTGCATATTTTTTGTGGATCATCGTCACAGTCTATAGGGAAAGTGGGTCGTGCCATTTAATACTGGTGACTTAGTATGAGCCAACTTTTCAGAGAATGACAGCTCAAAAAAAATTACCTCTGCCATGTAGAGAGGTCCATATGTTCCTATTACTGTTTTTCCTTTAATGGATTCATAAAGCTTAGTAAGTCTCTGAGAAAAGTTATGTGATTATTTAGTAAAAGCTCAAAACTCCTTTTTGAAAATAATTCCTTACTGGCTACCATTGTGTTTGTCACTGTGGATAAGTAACTTTCATTTGCCATATAGGAGATACAAAATACTAAGGTGGCATCTAACTGCTTTTAAGCAAGAGGATCATTTTTGTTGCAAGTGTCCAGTCTCCCTTTCATTAGAAGGGGCTATTTATGTTCCATATTGCTTGTTTGCTAAAGAGGGAAATACAATAAGCATTGTCTAAAATTTATTTTGCCTGCAGGCTACTATATTCTTTTCCCAAACTATGCTCTTCCCAAACTATTTATATTTATTTATTTATTTATTTATTTCGGTGCATTTATACACTCTTTCCTCCCAATTGCATTTATTTGTGTCATCATAAATGAGTATCGCTGAGTGCTTATATTCATGAATATGTGAGTTTTATGTGTATGAAAATTCAGCTTTCTTAGACCTGCCACAACCATCATTTCTTCTATTAGTAACGTTTGGAGGTGAATGATAGCATTTGCAGAGCCACAATGGCACCATCCATGCACATGGAGGCATGTGCATTCTTAATGGGAATCCAAGGGTTGCTGAAGAGCTTCTTTTTCCGGGAAAAGAAAATTAACAGACTATACTGTGTTATCCTAAAATGCAGTGTTATGAGAAAATATATTTTGCTTTCTTGTGTGCATGACTTTAAATGGTTTATATTAAAGAACTAGGTTTCTTTTCTCTTTTCCCTAGACTTTACCTTCCAAGAAATGAAATCGATAACCTAAACAAGCCAAAGATGTGGAAGATGTTCAGGGAAAATTTTGCCGTGGAGTTGAATTTCACTGATCCGTGACTGAAGCAAGCAGACCGATTTGAGGATTGCATAGTAATTCAGTCATCTAGTTTTGCACCTGCTGTGGAATTGTATTTTGATGCTATTCCTTCTCAGTATGCAGAAAGAATCACCTTGAATGGAAAACTAAAAAGCGTCCTAGCGCTATCATGATTACAATAATTAATTTTGCCATCTGGATTGTGTGTGAGAAAATTAGAAGGTCTTCAGTGAGTTTTACTACTTTCTTCTGTTCCTACCCCTCTTTGTAAACTCAACAGTAAGTTCATAAGCTCTTCATCATCTTAATCTGACCTTTTAAAATTTTTTTATCTTTTTATCCCCAAAAGCTGGGTTATTTGCCAGTTTCCAATAGCAGTTTATGACTGGGAGTCTGGAGATGAGGCTTAACTATTTTGTAATGGCATCTAGTGCCAGATTCATTTGGTGTGGGCCCTGATATCCCAAGGTTTGAGACCAAAGATCCTGCCTGCTGCTTCTCTCTCTGCATTCCACAGGGCTTTTACTGAGTTTCCTAAGCTGATAGTGGATGTTGACAAGATGTCTTTGGAGTAATTTGGACATTCTTCATGCCATATCCAGGAACTCCATATGTTGTAGGATCAGTTAATCTTATATTTTGCACTGACTTGGAAGGCTTTCAGTTCACAAAATTTCCACCCAGGATAGGGGAATGAATATGGAGAATATCATGTTAGGGGAAGTTGCTATAGGAAGTAGAGTTCTGTTGTCTTTAAAATGGCTGGAATTTATGATATGTAATGATGATGGCTCCTCCACTGTAGAAAGCACATGTGAGTGGTTACACTAGCTCCCCAAATTTTTCCTTATAAGCACCCTTTCTTGTTTTTTTTTTTTTGGTGAGCTAGAAACTCTTACTTATTGATCTGGTTGCAGTATAATATTTGTTAATGAATTCCAGTTCGACAGCTTTATATTAGTTCCACATTGACTTTTTGCCATTTCATATATATTATTACTTCAGATAACTTGGTGATAAAATTGGTAGTTGGGGTTTTTTCCCTTGAAAGCATAATTCAAGTGGAATACTGGTATCAGGAAGTCATACAGTATTGTAATGATTTTGTGTAACGCGTAAGAACAGATTTAACACCCAATATCCACAAAAATCATACTCTGTATTTTCATTCTGAAGTGTTCATTGTTGGTCCGAATCACCTGTAGGCAACCCTGTCAAGCAAAATTAGGTATTCTGTTATATAATCTAGTGCAGTTTTTTTTCAAACTTGGCAACTTTTAAGATTGCGAACTTCAACTCCCAGAATTCCCCAGCTAGTCTGGATGTTGAAGTTCACACATCTTAAAGTTGCCAAGTTTGAAAAAAACTGATCTAGCAAGTTATTAATACTACTTTGAATTTCCAAAATTAGCATGTAATGCAGAATTTGCTACCATTCCAAGATGTTCAGCACTTTAAAAATTAGTTTGTAGCATGCATATTTGTAAAGGATATTGTTAAATGCATTCTGTTTCAGCTAAGAGGTTGCTATGTAGGCTGAATCCAGATGTCAATGAGCTAAATGCAAACTGCAATATCACCCCATTCCAGTGCATTGTTATAGAAGCTAAGCCAGTTGATGTCCACCTCAATACTAATAATATGCTACAACTAAGCAAATATAAAATTATTATAACCAAAGCATAGCAGAGGATAGTTATAGCTTTTACTTTTAAGGGAAATTTTCAGACTTTTTATGTCATTAGAGAATGAAAAGTCTCTGCAAAATTCTCTATCAAAGTAAAAAAGGAATAAATTTCAGTAGTCCATTGTATATTTCATTTTCCTGGCTTTCAAAGCAGACACAACATATGATTTCTCTAATCAACCAGCTGTCACTTCAGAACAATGGCTGTGCATTCTGGGAACAGGGAAAGATTATAGAGGAATATTAGGTACTGGATTCCAGGTGAATTTTTTTAGAGTCTATTTATGTGTAAGCTGCTTTCCAGTGGTCTCTGGTGTGTGACAATCAAGTAGCCAGTAAGTAGACTTGTATACAAATTAGCAAATGTGGGACATTATAAAAACTGCTCTGTAATGCACCTCCTGCCCAGTTTCCCAGGATATTAAGATTATATCATATTTCTAGTTCATTCACTTAAGTTGCAAGCTGATAGTTAACTGGTACTTCAGCATGTTTTTTTAAACCCCTGGTCCTAAAGTTTCTACAGAAGTGAGTAATTAAGATCTCTTAAAAGATTATGTAATATCAGTGGTGATCTAGATGCGTAAGTCAACAAGGCACACAACATTTAGAAAATACAGCACATTTACTGAAATCTTTTTTCAAAAAAACTCCAGTCATTTTACTCTCATTTCAGATTTTAAAATCTATCGCTCACACTTGGGCAACTCCTGTGGTTACCACACATTCTCTAATGATGTCAATTGTTGATAAAAGTTCTAGCTATCAAATTGGTTCATCATCAGTTTGCGGCTATATTCATAGGCAAGGAACAGTGCACCGTTGGCTGGGAATGCACGGATCATAGTAGGTTTCAGTCCAGAGTACAAGGCAAACACACCTATGAGCAAGAGATAAATATTAGAAAACCTATCTTAGAATTCTCCACTCCCATCACTTTCTTAAACTAGACTATCTTGTAGTACTGATTTAAAACTGAAGGAAATCCAGCAAAAACTAAACTTTTATGAATTCCAGCTTGCCTCCAAATTCAGAAGAAATGGTTAAATATTTTTGGGCTGATCAGATGAAATGAGTTGTCCTTATCTAAATTTGTCATTATTAATTTAACATGTAGTTGATAATGTCCAGAAACGTGTTATGTAATGTGAATGATTCGAGAAATGGAAGAAGAAATTGTAAGGCTCAAATGATTGGGTTATAGTAATAATAAAAATTATATAAATCTGTCTTGCAGTTGATTTGGAGCTAGTGCATTTGAAAGAAAAATTAGGTCTAAATCTTTATCTGGACCATGGCTGTTGGGCTGATCATATTATCTTAGACTGATTAAATTAATCATGGATTAGCAGGTTTTGCAACCCAACTTTCTTACAGAAAATGAGACAGAAGGCTGCTCAGTGCAATGAAGGAATCTGAACAATTACTGAAATGATTAGACAGTTCACAAAAAGCCACAATAACATCAAAATGACATGCAGATGTCATCATACAAATGATGTGATTATGTAATGCCTTCATATTTGGCTCAAATGTGTAAGTTGCATCATTTGCATGATGACATCATGATACACATTATGAGTCCTCCACTTATGTGCCCTTGTTCCATTCTGCTGCCTTATACAGTCACAAAATGGTTTGGTTTTAGATTACTGTACTGTGATAGGGAAACCTGATCACTGTGGCTTGTTCAATAAATAGTTTACAATATTGTGCAAAGCCATTCATGCCCCTTTGTGGTTAGGGGCATTAACTTTAAACACTTAAGATTCAGAGATCTCTTAAAAGCTTTGCCTGGATGTGCTAGTCTCCTAGGGCACTGCAGTTTGCAGCCATCCCATAAAAGCATTAAAATGGTTGAATTTTGGTTGTGGAACTTTTTTTTCCCAAGAAAGGGTGGGAATAAGAGCAGGAGGCTATGGGAAATCCATTTGCTGCCATTTCTGTCCTTCAGCCTCCTCATTGCCCAGAATAGTGGTGACAAAATGGAGCTATTTTGCTGCTAAACTCCAGTTGCATGATTTCAACCTTTTTCCAGAATGTAAGGGTTTTAAGGGTGGTCATGGAGGCAGTTTGCCTTTTGTTCCCACTATGAATTCCCCTCCCACAAAAAATAGGCCAAAGAATTTCATCCCTGTCCATTCTAAAAAAAAGTTACTGAAAAGATTGGAAGGCCCCAAGCCTGTAAGGAGTTGTGTATCCCTGATGTACATCCAGCAAATTGAATTCTAAAATTTAAAATCTAGTGTAGCTTTTCCTAGCCTGGTGCTGATCCCATTCAGAAGAGTTGGAACATTACTGGGGATGATGGGAGCTGCAGTCCAAACCTTCTGAAGGGGGCAGGTTAGGAAAGCCTGCTGTATGTAAAAAGAGGTCATTCCTAATGACTATTAGGGCATGGGATGATAGAGACAGACAAGAACTGAGTTCACATGTTATACTAAGTTTAAATGTGGTTTGCCTGTTTGTGATTTAGTCTCTCCTATAAACCCAGCCAGCTGTGCTTTATTCAGCAAACCATGGCTTAGCATGATGTGTGAACCAGATCAAGGCAAGTGGGTTCAACCTAATACATGAGAAATCTACATTCTGTTTCCATGACATTCAGTGCAAAAACAAATAGAGGTAAATTGTTCCACAAAAAATCCATGACCAAAAGCTGTATTTACATTCTACTCATTGTTGCAGGCTTACATAGCAATAAAGAACATTTTAAATCCTGTCTTTCTAGTTTTCTGCAACCTCAGCCTTGAAAGATGAAAGGGTCTTACTCCTTTCTTCCCAGCTGTATTCAACCATTATTCCTAAAATGGACTTTAATGGTTTTCTGGTTCTGATAATCTATCCTATCCCAATCTGGTCCTGCAGTTTCACTGATACAACCCCTTCCTGCCATTTGCAAAGAAAACGAATAGCAGCAGCAACAGATGTAAAATGACAACTGTTGAACTCGCTGGTTCTTTTCAGCTAAATACATGATGTAGCCACATGCTATTTTGAAGAGGCAAACTCTACACTTCTGAAAACAGGAGCTGGCCTAATGCTGCCGGAAGTAATCACGTGACCATCACCTGCTTTATTGTAGTTTCCTGTAGTGATCAATCCATTTTTATTTACTATAAGCAGACTAGTGGCCAGTATGCAAAAATGAAAATCAAGGAAGTGCTATCTGGAAAACAGCCAGGTTTGTTTTGTTCCCCCTGCCCCTTGTGGGCATAGACACAATTCTATAGGGGACAGTTAATTCTATAGGTTGGCTTTTGCAGATGTTGAGAGATACCCTAACCCATGGCCCCATTAGTTTCATTTCATATTCTAACCTTCATGCTGGACAACACTTGCAAAAGTTCTCATAAAGCCAGTTTGTTTTCCTGCCATGGAAAGAACCTGGATTCTAGATTTGATGCAGTCCACTGGGTAAACAGCAATCCATAGACACATGCCACCGAAGCCACCACTGAGCATCAGCGCAACAGGACCTATAAAAGCAAGCAGCAGGAGCTTAATATATTGTAGTACGATAGCAGAAAACCCAAGTGAGTTTTACCTCCACTTGCAGACAGGTGTGTTTGTTTTAAGGTGCAATGTATTGGTAAGTTATGAGAATCACTGAAAATATGTTATTTGTGT